TTTATATAGAAAGTAAAGCCCTAATAGGAGATATGGTCCGCCTATCCCAGGTTTTTTCAAGTAGTCCATCTATCCCAATTGTCGGGGATAGATGGACCAGTTTCCCGTCCAGACAAACAACGCTACCGGCATGCCATTTTAGGTCAAGATTGTACTCAAGTATACACTTGAGTTATAGGATTGATCTTACGTCGAAATCATTTAAACTAACTTAACCACATATCAAATAAATCCAGTATAAAATATTTTTCAACTCACCAAAAGAAATAAACAAAGTTTTCTTCTAAAATACGCATGAAACTCATGAGCAAAACTAAGCGTGGTTCCGTCTACTCAAAAAGAACAAATTCAGACAACGACTGCAGCGCTGCTGTGACACCCCAGCCAAATATTCGACTAGTCCGTCTATACCGGTGGTCCATATATCCCGGACTTACCCTATCACACTTTCGTATCACCTTAATACAGGAGAGGCGCCGGGGAGGGACTCGTCGGTACACGCAGGTGGAGAACGATCACGGGGATCTCTGAAAGTCGCGTTCGCGGAACGAGCACCGATCGCTTCTCGGTTGTCTCCCTGACCCCGGAAAGAAGGAGAGGAGACACGAAGAGGAGCAGGTCTTCGGAGTGTCCGACGCGAATGAGATATTCGCCTCGGGCACGCGAATCGTAAATGAAGGGGAAGCGAAGTGCCGAGGAAGACGAAACACACGGCGGAAATTGAAGAGATCCGCTGAACACGGTCGAACTGGAAAGCCGAGTGAATTACCGAGACATCGTGCAAAGGCTACGAGGGTCCCGATACAATTCTATAATCAAAGGATAAAAAGGAGGCGGATAATTATTTTAGAAAAATATGAAATATAATATAACGAAGAATTATGTAATGTCGGCAATGTCTGGAGGGATAGCGAAGCGAGCAACGTTCGTAGAGATCGGAGAGCACGCAAAGGTTCGGAGATCCCGCGGACGCCGCGAGGGCCGGAAAGTGGGGAAAATACTATAAACTGATTGTCTGGGGAAGCCGAGAGTACGAGAGATCGCGAAGTCGGGAAAGTCGGTGACGACACGAGGGAATCGTAAATTCGTGCGTGAGTCGACCTCGGACGAGGCCAAGGAACGATGTTCCGCATTCCCGGCCCACAGCTCGAGGCAGCTCCCAGCCTCCTCGCACTTGGACGCCTCTCTTCCGATCCCGTGGCCCCCTTTGAGGCGGGTACCCGGGCACCCGGGGACTCGTCAACTCGAGACCTCTCCTGGCCTATATTCCCCCCTCCCCTCCGGCTTCTCCGTGTCCTTTTCATTAGGATTCCCTTTACGGGCGTGGCTTTCTCGTTATCGGCTGAGTCCTCGTTCTCTCCACCTCTCTTGATTTTGCATTCCTCTTCGAGGGGGTAGGCGGGAATTTATCAACCTGACACCTTTCCCGGCAAAAATTTCCGTTCTCTCGTTTTTGCGCTGCCTTTTCCCTAGGATTCCCTTTATGGGCGTGACTTTTTCATTATTAGCCGTGACTTCGTTCTCTTTTCCTCTCTCGATTTTGCATGGGATAGGTGGGAATTTATCGATCCGAAACCTTTTCCGACCTATATCTTTCGTTGTCAGCTTCGTGGTTTCGGTAGGATTCCGTTTATGGACGCGGGGTTTCTTTATCGGTAGCTTTCGACGTCGTTAGCGCTGTCGTCCAATTGTTTAAGGTGAAGTGAAACACGTCGAGGAACTTGATCGACGTCGATAGAGAAGATTTTTCTAAATGCCTACGTTGCCGACTTTTGTTTTTATATCGACAGCTGGGTCCAATTATGTTGGGTATTGTACCAAATGTCATACTCCACCTGTCGTTTTCGTATAATAATTATCAAGAAATCGAAGTAAAACTCCAGAAATCCTCTGGATTCGAGCTTTCTGGGGCCCTAATTGACTGCGGAGGGACGCCCTGCGCCATCTGTGATTTCCAGGTCAATTAAATTTTCACTCCGAGACCTCGTATTACCATCGTTTTGGCAAAGAAGCGCATACAACACTTTTTTTGCCTTTATCTCGTTCAAATGCGAGTTTATCGATTACCAGAGTGTTCTAAATTGTCGTAAAATTGTCCTGACCCTTTCGATTCTCATATCAGAGCCTTCGATAATTTTATATTGATCGAAATATCAGAGCTCGACGCCATTTTGGTTCTGGTCTAGGCTGAGTAAAAAAAATTTTTTTTTAAAACTCCAAATTTTGAATGTGTCAGGACAATTCTTAGATGATCAGGAGTGATGTGTCAAAGTTTCGGACTGTTTGGTGTAATACCCTTAAAAAAAAGTGTTGTATTCGAATCGACTGATTTGAAGGGTGTTTCACTTCACCTTAACGGTATCGATAACTATCGAATTCTACAGAATCCTGCTACACGTTCTCTCCTTCGCTCTTGATTCCTTGTTCCTCTTCGTGGGGGGGCAGGCGGGGGTATTCATCGAGCCAAGACCCTTTCTAGCCTATATTTTCTTTTTCTCGTCTTCGCGGTGCCCTTTCACTGGAATTCCTTTTATGTACGCGAATCCCCCGTTATCCGATGAGTCCTCTTTCTCTCCTTTTCCCTCTTTCGATCCCGTGGCCCCCTTCGGCAGAGGTACTTGGGGCCTCGTCGATCCAAGACCTCTCTTGTCCCATATTCTTGCCGTCCTTTTCCCTAGGTTTCTCCTTATGGACGTAGCTCTCCCGTTATCCGCCGGCTATTCTCCTCTTAATACCGTATCTTCACCGAGTATAAGAATTAAGGCTAGCATCTGGTCAAATGAACGCTGCCGAGGCCATCCGCGGTTTAATTCGCCCTAATTCACCGAATCGATGTGCAGATCAAACGGGTCTAACGTCAAGAATGACCGATCCGCACTTTCGATCGGCGTGTCCCTCCTCCCTTAACCTTCAATTATTCCAAGATACAATTTTAACCGAAAAGGCCTACTCGGTGTAAACCCATTAGGCGGCCAACCTTCCGTCAGATTTCTCTTATTCCCGACCTTGCGGAGATTCGTGTCCGAGATTGAATTCCGTGTCCTGAAAAAGTTGCCGACTGGTTGGCGCTCGACATTTTTAATACGTTTCCCCTAGAATCTCAACTGGTTCGTCCATCTGGCCTCTCTCCTCGACCTTGCTCGGAGTTTTCTACGGAATACCGGCGGCACCGGTTTACGCGTTATTTTCTCGCGAAGTAACAGTAAAGCAAATGAAACGCGGAGCCGCGACTCCTGATTTATTGCCGAGCCCCGGGATGATCGTCGGGACTCCCAGAAACGATCCGGATTTGCGCGAATCGTTCATGAGAAATCGCGCAACGCCCTCGAGCATTGTTCTCCATCGCGAGATGACTTCTCGGCCGTGTTATTCGATCCGACCTTTTCCTCTCTTCATCCTTGCCATTTTCCTTTCTTACCGGACGACTTCGGCCTTTCGTGCCACCTCTCGGTATCGCGGCCAGAGACGTCCGACACCTCGACATTCCTGCGAAAATCATTCGCGGAAGGAGAAAGAGGAAAGAGCGTCAATTAATTCCACGGGACTTTACTTCCTCTCGGGGTGATTTTCTTTTCCTTTCTTTCTTTCTTTCCAAGCCGCTCGGAATCTTGAATTTCACCTCGTGGAAAGTCCCGCGGACGAGGAGGGAAGTTGCGATACGATGTTTTATAGTTCGACGTATCAGGACTATAAATTTCCACGATTTATATCTCCCTCGTCCGAGCGTAAGCTTGTACACTCAATTTCACCTTCTTATCGTAGGAAAGTTAGACTTATCTCCGTACGTGGACATCGCAATGCCGCTCAAGAACGACCTTAAAATTAGGCTCCTTTCTAAAGTTCGCCTTTGCATTCTACGCGTCGCTCAGGAGTTTCTTTATTACGACTCAATGGAGCCGAATGAGGAATTTCAAACACGCGGACCTGCACTTTCCAATCTCGGTATCTTGAGGCATATTTTCGAGCCACCTCGTTCCGATGCCCTTGGAGTCATATTTTTTTTTTTTTTAATAAACGTGGTTAATGACAATGTGATGCACGTCTTCGTGATATCCGGAAATAAACGGTTGAAATAGTTCGAGAGAAAAACATTGTAAGTACTGAACGTAAAAAAGTACAAGCCTAACGGTGAAAACTTTGTTGGTGATCGTTAACCTTTGAAACAAGTGGGATTCAATAAAAAAAAAAAACGTGCAATCTATGTAGCCTTCCTCGTATTTAAGAATGATCTATTTTTGTACCTAGATATAAAACTAAACACTGCATTAAATTATATTAAAGCGATTAGGGTGTCATTTTTTGGACCTGGGCGATACAGGGGCGTTTATTATATCTCGGAAGACTAAAATATCTTTCACCGAGCGTTGCTTCGTGAAAGTTTCAAATGTTGAGATCTTTGGATACTTTCAGACGAGGACTGGGGAGTACCTGCGGAAGACAACGACTACCTGCCGGAAGGATCTAACCTGACGCTTCCCAGGGTGGCCAGGAGTCCCGAGAGAATCCCAACAGTGGCCAGAGGAGTGTCTCCTTCGGGCCATAAGGGTCGCAGGGCTCCCGAATTAAGGCAGAGAACTCCAAGTCCGCAATACCAACCCAGGATGAATCCTGCCGACGTCACCAGTCCCAGGGAGAGATTCCAGGATGCCAAGGAGATGTTCCGAGCCATGGAACGCGAGGTCATCGCGAGACCTGCCCTCTCAAGGCAGAGAGAAAACCTTGAGAATCACGGAGTCGGCAGGTAAATATGCGGAGGTGTCGTTAAATTATAAACCGTATCTCTTCCACCGACGAGGCGATCCTTTATTATCCACCTATATATTTCTTAACAATCGTGGCAGTTTGAAGGGAAAATAATTTCGCCGAATCAAAATTTCTAAACGCCAAAGTCGAAACCTTCTAACGTGGTATTGAAAAATTTCAATAACGAGAAATGTAGATTCAATTTGTATGTCGATATTTTTGGTTTCATTTGGAGGCGGCATATTAGGACTTGGAATAAACTATGGGGAAAAGGTTTTTCTTCTTTTTTTTTTTTTTCAATTAGATGGGGGATTTATAGTTCTTCCGCAGCACCTATAAGAGAATTCTGGGCGCTAGTCGAGAGGAATCATATCTCTGAATAAATGGACTCATTTGACCCTGGAGTCGGCGATGCCCGAAGGCTTTTTCGTAATGCGCCGCCTATGAGTCCGAAATATTGCGAACACCTTTGAAACGAATGTTCGGGAGCACCGCCCACGGTGACATTGACATCAATGCCAGCAACGAGTAATGCTCGTTTCACCATGGGCCCCGTTCCGTAATGACAAGTTTACGAGCGGAAGATTACATGGTTATTCGCAGGAGGCTAAAGGATATTAAAGGATTTTAACAGTTCCCGACATCCTTGCGAAGTCCTTGAGAGCGTTTCGAGTCCTGCAGGAATATATTCGAGTCGGCATGCGCACGTCTTCCAATCCGGAATTCTACTTAATAACGAAGCGGGGGAAATATTCTTCGCGGGGGTCGACAAACCCGTACAAGAATCTCGCCCGGAGTCCAAGCAAGTTTGTTGCTCGTTTCTCAGAGACGTATCGGATTTCCAGCAGTCATCGGCAGCAAGCCGGGTCGAGGAAGGAAGTAAGGGGAAAAGTGCTTGAAAAATGGATGAAAAAGCGGAGGAGGAACAAATAAATTGCAATCTCGTGCCGAGACATCGGGGGAGATATCGGCGGTCATTTGCAGTCGTCGTTTTCTCCGAGTGTCGCTGCCTCTTGCTTTCTAACCGAGATCTTGGCCTCTAGAAAATGAGTCTTTCGATCGTCATTAGCGTTGCGTCCATGCTTCCGGTTGCAAATTGCCGACGCGTCCAATTATATCCTCAAAAGATACGGAATTAGTCGCGCAAAATCGTGCCTCGGAAATTACCCTCCAACTTGTGGAAAGGCTCGGTTTCTTGGGCAATTTCAGAATGTCGCTTGGCCAGTTAAGGTGAAGTGAAACACGTCGAGGAACTTGATCGACGTCGATAAAGAAGATTTTCCTAAATGCCTACGTTCTCGACTTCGTTTTTATATTGACAGCTGGGTCGAATTATATTGGGTATTGTACCAAATGGCATACTCCAGCTGTCGTTTTTGTAGAATAATTATCAAGAAATCGAAGTAAAACTCCAGAAATCCTCTGGATTCATGCTTTCTGGGGCCCTAATTGACTGCGGAGGGACCCCCTGCGCCATCTGTGATTTCCAGGTCAATTAAATTTTCACTCCGAGACCTCGTATTACCATCGTTTTAGCAAAGAAGCGCATACAACACTTTTTTTGCTTTTATCCCGTTCAAATGCGAGTTTATCGATTACCAGAGTGTTCTAAATTGTCGGAAAATTGTCCCGGCCCTTTCGATTCTCATATCAGAGCCTTCGATAATTGTATATGGATCGAAATATGAGAGCTCGACGCCATTTTGGTTCTGGTCTGGACTGAGTTAAACAATTTTTTTGAAAAATCAAAATTTTCAATGTGTCGGGACAATTCTTAGACGATCAGGAGTGACGTGTCAAAGTTTCGGACAGTGTGGTCTAATACCCTTAAAAAAAAGTGTTGTATTCGAATCGACTGATTTGAAGGGTGTTTCACTTCACCTTAAGAGCCTTTAATCGTGCACCGAATATGTAGTTCATATATATGTTTGGAGGCAGAAGATATGAACGGCCAATCTTTTGTAGAAAGTATTTTAAACCTTTCGCGACGTTGGCGGTGGAACTGGTACATACATCACCGTTTAACAAGACTTAACGAATACTTTTATACCCTAGTCATCTTTGTACACCGACTATTCGCAGTTTGAAAGAAAGTTCCATAGACGACAGCCCTCGGACTCCACTTTCATATCACCTTAAAGAGTCCCATTTATGTGCATTTCAATGGAGAAATTCTATAATGGGAATCGTTTAGATAACGAATAATGATCGTAACGCCGTCTTTGCATATTGGTTTTTTCTTTCAGCCGGCTCGACGTGTCCAGGCAAATTCACGAGGAGTCATCGGGTAGACAACGGACGTCGATTTCGAATTCCGTCCCGATTCAAGAGCATCAAATTCGTCGAAGTCAACCCGAGTTGATCGATCGCGAAAACGAAATGTCATACAGAGCCAGATCGAGACCCCGGATGCACCAATACGTGACGGAACGTCAACCGGACCCGGAAGCAACGAGGCCTCGACCTCGGAGCTTCTACGAAAGTCCTGCTTCCGTTGGCAGGGACAATCGAGAGCCTAGAAGTATTCTGGAATGCAGAGACAGAGAAGTGAGTAACATATGACTCAATTTAAAATCCTTAATTCCTTCCCCTTACAATGGAAGAAAAATGGTCACATTGCCACGGTACTTTTTTAGTCTCACTTTTCGGGGAGCAATTAATTTCAAGCCCCGATTATCGGCGCACAAATGGTCGCGAAGAACTCCTTGCACGAAATTTCTTGCAAATTCCTGTAACGGTTATCTGACTTGAAATGATTAATATCGACCATCGGATGACGAAGGCCGGTTTTACAGCTCTTCGGAAGATTCAGTCAGCAGGTCGTACCACAACCAGTCGGTTGGAACACCTGACCTGGAATTCATTCGGAATACAAATTATGCATCGCGGTTAGTTAGAAATAAATGACGAGAATTTTAATCCGCCTTAATTCACATCGAGGAATCCGGCGTTGCGGTTAAATCCACTTTTTTATCGGATATGCAAACCGTGCCAATAATTTTCCCAAGTCGGGGATGAGAAAGTACGGGAAAGCTTTTTCTCTGGTTATCAAATTTCTCGCGCGTAGATATTCCCCGTTATGATATTAATATATTATGATGTTATGATATTAATTAGATAATTTATTATAAGTTTTCATGTATTTTCGTTGATCCGTTAATTAATTTACTGGTTTAACGTCCACAGACTCGGGAGATTCGCGATCGGCAGCATTTACGAGAGCCGCGGGAAAAGCTGCGAGTGAGATCGGCAACTTATCAGGAGCTCGCAGATCACGAAAGATATCCCGGCCTGGACCGAGAAAGCGCAAGACCTGCGTTAGATATAATACCAACACCCGGTAGATATCGTCACAGCTACGCCGAACCTCCAAGACTGGGTCTGGCTGCTCTTCATCCTTACTGATATACCTACTCGATCGTCATCAGTTAATTAACCAAGTAATTAATTATTTAATCAATGAGCGATTCGACTGCCTAGCCCATGTACGTGCCTGCCAAGCTACTTGTCGCTGGCATTAGGTGCGATGATTTAATCTCGTTACGAGGTACACGTATCACGCGTCTTCAGCCTTGAAATGAAACGAGTTCAAGTACCCCGTTAAACGGAATGGGTATTGCGCAATTTAATTGCGCCGACTGTGACGCTATTTTTAATACGCCAATAATCTCTAATGTCGGGAGATAATAGATGGGAAACGTCACTGCCATTTTTAAATGAATAAGATTCGGTAGTGGTACACCGCATCGATCTTGACGTCATTCTTTGGGACGATCAAAGCAAGAATGCCGACATTTCTTTTATTTCTTTTCTTCATTTTATGATCGTCTAGATGCAGCATATCAAAGACAACGTATCATGACTATTTTTAACTAAAGAACACTCACCTTGCGAGACACACCTATGTACGCGTCAAACAACTTGTCCCCAGCATAATGCGAGATGATTTTATCAATGATGCAGTTTAAGCGGTATCGCGAATCATGGTCAACCTTTGAAAGGAATGTCCACGGTGAAAGTATGACATTGACTATGGTGTTATTTTGAGATGTCGTGATTTGTCGACGGAGTGTATACTCGAGGACGTTAAGGAATCCGGGTAGGGATCTGGGAAGGAGATTTGCAATGACATTTTTAATGTATGACCGTTTCATGCGCGAGCATGTTACTTGTCAACGACATCGAGTAGGACGATTTTATCTCGCGGTGCTGGTTACAGGTACCAGAAGTTGTTGCGCATCCTTAAGGAGAACGTACATACCGAAAGTACAACATCAATTGAGACGATATTTTTCACTGCCGAGAATTGATGTCTTGTACCCTCAAATATGTATATAGTTTTTATATGTACGTAGGTATTTGAGGAGTATACAATTAGGAACTTCAGAAGTGCGATTCATTACCAGTTTTATAATAATTGAATGTGAACGGTTCATTGTACATGTAGGTGTTCGCGCGAATGGCCGAAAAGGAAAACATTATCTTTATTCGAGAACGAATTCTGTTGTACCATTTCGCAATTGTACAAACGCATTGTTCTAAATCAACGCGTCGCAAAATGTATGAATATTTTATCAAGGAACTTTTGTACACCACCTATTGATAAAAAGGGAAAATAGGTGACGGAGAACGGAAAATTCCGGAAATATACAAAATATGTATATCACGCTCTAACTGAGAAATACATTTTGTACTATAGTCTTATACCGTTTCCGGTGAAATTGTAAATAAAAAATGTCGCAGGATATCTCAGTGAATAGATATATATATTTTCTCGGCTCGCCCGTTCACGAACGCTCAGAAATAGACATCTCTCACGAACGTCGCTCTAAGATTATATTATAAATAAAACGATTAACACATAAAGTAACTTTACACTCGTACAGCGACCCGATTCTTAACATTACTAAGTTGCGCCGTCCTAGATATTTCTACTCAACTACAGGAATGATAAGAAATTTTAACACTGAATCTCCGCGATGGAGGGACTCATTCGCAGTTGAAACTCTACGTTGACATTCGCTCTGTATGTGCCAAATATTTAATAATTTAGCGTACAGTAATCTTAAGGGTGTAACGAAGCGCCATAAGAACAAAATGTTCAACAATCCCCGTTTTGAATGGATCCTTTAATTCTTATCGTTGTTTATTTCCTGACCGTGATTAACCTGCAAGAGAGTCAACGTTATTCCGACACTTCGTGTAACAGAACCGAGATTTACGTTTGATACTTTACAACGTTAATCACTTCTTGCTATCCGCTAAGTCGGCAGTTTTGTCGAGGGACTCGTAATTATGCATAAATTGCATACTTAAGATGTATCGTTACACTAATGAAAGTTACAGCGAGTAAGCATCCGTATTAAGTGTAGTACTGAATACGGTCCAGCTTTATGCAAGTCGGTTCCAACTGTGTCTTCCCATAGAAATGTCAAGTACTTCAACACTTACAAGGTGAATGGAACAATGTGATGATAAAAGCTTTTTATTATCTGTATATTTAATAATAACTGATATTTAAGCCCCTATGAATTTTCTTTGAAATTCTGCACCCTCTATAACTATTTAAAAAAAATTGAGTAACATTCTTGCGAGCTCGATTTACCATGTCGAGTGGTTACCCAATTATTTATCCAGCTTTGTACACAGTGAGTTCTGGTACGACGCAACGAGACGCGGCGTCGAATCCATCGATGCATTCGTCGATCGATTATCGGCGAGGCTCTTTTTTTCCTTCAATCCAACCGTGTCATTGGGAAATGTCTTTTCCGCGCAGCGCCCAGGAAGTTGCAAAATGCCAAAAGGAGCGGTTAACAATGGGATAAGTCGCAAATAGAAATGCAAAGACTTACACAGTCCTGTTCGCCGTTACTCAACCGGGACCGCACTTTAGCCCCGTTCGGTAATAGTAATGACAATTGTCGACTCTTACCGTTTGTACTGCTCCGAGAGCGGAATTTGCGTTTCGACATTTGCGCGGCAAGGCGCAGCGCAAACAGGCTGCCAAATTACAGTCTCCGGGTAAATTGCAACGCCTCGTCGAGCCTTGACTCGGTTTGCATCTTTCTGCTTATTACGCGCAATAAACTTAAATCCAGAACTGTCGGAGCCCAGGAAGAGAGGCTGGAAAATCTTGAAAGTTCCGAGTAGAGAAAATCGCGAGATACTTTCTTGGATTTATTTAACTATTTGGAAGAAATAAGTACAATGTCTCTGCCATGCTGGAAAATACCTCGTAAGTACAGTTTCTTTATATTAATTATTTTTAAGCTTTTTTCTTCCGCGTTCACTTCAGAGTCAGTCCTGAGTCATCGGAAGGAAATGATATCCGGAAACTTCTGTAAAGAAGTGACATCCGGGAATGATGGAATCGAGAGGGAATTTTCTCAAGAACGCGAATTTACTCCGTTTAATCGCGATTATTCATTGATTCGCCTCACGGGCACGGAGAAAACCAAGTTTCCAAATGCCTAGTTGCTTATGTAAATGCCGAGATGGTACATAGCAAGTGTCTCGTGAAAGTCCATTGCGTCGAATGCCGGAATCGATCACGCCTGCTTTACTTTCCCGCGGATCTTTTTTACAATCTAGGGAATGAAGAGAAAAAAGAAAAATTAGTGTATTTGCCCAAGTCGTACAATCGTCCATAAATGAACGCGTAATCCGTATACATTGACGGACGTAAATAATCCCACGAGGACCTAAGATGTCGGCGTGAAAAATCGACAAATTGCAATATAGCATCGAGCTCAGAAAGGACTTACAAGGAAACATTCCCAAGTGTCCGCCTCCGATCTTATTGAGTTTCATATATGTCGAAGAACACAAAAATCTAAGAGATACGTGTTTTTTTATATCTGCAATGATCCACATTTAAGGGGTGAAACAACCCTCCAAAGTTTAGCGAAAAATCGGTTTTTTAATTATTTTTCGTAGGAGCAGTGGAGGGATTTCGACGAAACTTTGCATAAACGTACTCTGTATAAGGACGGTGACTACACAATATTGTTCAGCAATGTTGCACCCCCTCAAGGGGGTGAACTACCCTTCAGGTGATATTTTTTTGTAATATCCATTAAACAAGCACTCCTACTTAAGTTCCACTTACGCGATGTGATTGCTCGCAAGAAATTAAGAAATACGTGTTTTTTGCTTTTTGCCAATAATCATTTACACATCGGTTGTAAACAATGAATGTAGGTGGTATTAGGGTATATCTCGACTACCTTTATTGGGTTATATCGTGACCAATTCATCGTACATAAGTCGTGTCAACGTGGTAATTCTTCAAAATGTCATTGATTTTCATAACACATAATTATTTATAAATAAATTAAAAAATAGTTTCAGAGGCTTAAATTGTTTCGCAACGGATTCGACGATGCAGTCATCACCCGTTTCCAACTAGTAAAACAATCTCCGTGGTGAAACGATAAAATTGGATTTTCAATACCACCTACATTCATTGTTTACAACCGATGTTTAAATGTTTATTGGCAAAAAGCAAAAAACACGTATTTCTTAATTTCTTGCGAGCAATCATATCGCGTAAGTGGAACTTAAGTAGGAGTGCTTGTTTAATGGATATTACAAAAAAATGTCACCTGAAGGGTAGTTCACCCCCTTGAGGGGGTGCAACATTGCTGAATAATATTGTGTTGTCACCGTCCTTATACAGAATACGTTTATGCAAAGTTTCGTCGAAATCCCTCCACTGCTCCTACGAAAAATATTTAAAAAACCGATTTTTCGCTAAACTTTGGGGGGTTGTTTCACCCCTTAAATATGGACCATTGCAGATATAAAAAAACACGTGTCTCTTAGATTTTTGTGTTTTTCAACATATATGAAACTCAATAAGATCGGAGGCGGACACTTGGGAATGTTTCCTTGTTAGAGAGATTATAGAGATATCGGTAATTGATTAGGATTGGTCAATTTTCTAACGCTTCTTACATCTTCGCGGAATTTTATGCGAATGTTATTTCCATTTTTTCCATCCAGTACACATGCAAAAGAAATAAAGACCGGTCCGGCAAGTCCAATAACCAAAGGAACGGAGTTCTTTAATCTTCAAGTTTGGCCTCATCGAGAGTCACGTTGGCTTCAATCAAGGTAACTAAAGACCGTATTTCAACAAATCTAGACACTCTTTACGGAGAAACGTTGAAGCATTGCGAAACGCCAATTTACCAGCAAATGATCGAGTAGTAAAAATTGGCGATCCGAGCAATTATCGGGCCTCCATTTCACCTTCTCGCAGTTTCACCGTGCTTAACGAGGGGGTAAAGTTCTTTTACATTGACTGATCCCATTTTTACTTGGCACCGAAAATATCTTCATTAAATGGGAAAGACACTTATACATATAGTTGAGATCTTCGGCAATCGGGATAAAACTCGAACGTGTCTAAAAGGGAAACTTCTTCTTTCTCGAGGCGACTTGGCCCGTAAAAGACACGAACGAGCAGCGTGTGCGTACTATGCGTGTCGTGAAAATCAAGCAGGTTCGGCATAAGGAATGATCTCTCCAGATTCCGAGAAGATATAGCCTGGAGCATTGGTACATTTAGCTGAAATTGCGGCCCCTTCGTGAGAACGGACTCGAGAACGCGATCGAGCAAATAAACGGAAACGTAACAATGAACATAAAATAACTACATGGGTACGTCCCTTGAAACGAGTTACCAAATAAATGAAAATATAATTTGAGCCTGCAGTCTGCAATTAAAAAATAATAATAATGGGAATTTCAATGATTTGCGATTTCTTATGTTAAATAATAAATATTTCTGTGAAAGCCTATGAAAGGTAGCCTAATATTATTAACGAGTTCTGCACCTCTTTCGGAAGAATTTAAGCGCTGAAATTACCGATCAATTAATTAGTTTTAACTGCAATGCTTATCCACGATTCTGCGTACATTAACTGCATACGTTACATGCATTAACTGCGCGTCGCTCCTCGCAACGCTCCGATTAGACACCAATTGAAAATAATTTCACGGGGAAATTACAAGCCGATTGTAAAGGTGTAAAGAAACCAATTGAGCAGTAAACGCGGAGAAACGTACAATAAACGCGTTAGAAAGTACATTATGAACTGCTGGATTTATGGCGTCATCAAGCAACGCGCAAAATTCTGTGGAAAAGCGTTATTATGAGCGAACGCTTCCAATAATTTTTCTTGATAACGAGTACTGCGGTTACATCGGTTAGGTGGCAACTAAAATGTGCCACGTGCACTGAGCATTAAGAAATGGATATGCATTGACGTAAATTTCTCATGAAAAAATCTGAAAATTATACATCCAAATTATGAGATCCTAATTTAACAGTGTTATTAAGTAAGACGCAGGACGCGTGGAAAGTCGCGTAATGTCGACACGTTCGCTCAATTATTTCTAAATTAATAAAGAAACGATGGTGAGAACTAAGACTCGACACGCGTGGTCCCAGAATCGTGTGATGACTGCATATTGTCGTCAATGGGCCAGACCACGTAATGACGAAGTCATAGCTGCTCCTTTCTGCCGAGCCAGTAGAAAGTCGATGACATAATTCCGCATATTCCGTTCTTCTCTTTTTCTCTCGATTAACCCCGAGTCCACCGTAGTATATTTACATGTTTATTATAATTATTTGACGCTAAAGCAGTCAACATTTTTCCGTTTTCAGGATTTTGCGGAAGGATCGCTGGCCGGGCTTCCCTGGAAACCTTGGATGTAATCTAGGTGTAATCGACAAATTGTAAGTCTCGTGGCTATCATTACGGGTGACGTATCTACCGGTCGGTAATAACGTACAGAGTCATCGAGTAATTCCATCAGAATTTCTCCACATGCCGAGATGTTTGTCTCGTTGAATTAAAAACATACATTTTTGTTCTCTTGAACGTAATTTCACGCTGCGACATTTTTGAGAATGTCCACTTCCAGAAAATATCCATTTTTCGTTCTTATTCTCGTTTCCCATTTATTAGCAGTTTTTTCGACTCTCCACTGATAAATATTTACTGCAAGCTAGTTTGAAAGTTGCCTAATCCGCTGAATGGTTATTTAATATTCTATCCAGAAATCTTCTTGTGTATCGGAATCAAAGTTGTCAATTTCGAAGGAAGGAAGACAAGAAGTCGGAAGCGGGCGATGCCTCGGTGCAACTGCATTCACGAATGCAGAATGAATGGAAAGCCAAGACGTCACGGCATAAATAAATTACGAGCTGTTTCTCCAATTCTGCATTTTACAGCGGAAGAAGGCGAACGATTTCCAAGGCGGTACCGATTATACGATATTCCCTATTTATGGATCCCAGTAAATGAATACAACTTTTTTATAAAACATGATTCACAAGGACGAATCGATTCATTTCCTTAACTCAGCCTTCGAAAGCACTTAATTAAAGAATTCATCTTACCGTCTTTTCACGCCTCCCATTCAATATTTAACGAGTGTTATTAAACCCTGAAATGTTCAAGCACTCGTTAAAGATTTCAAAGCACTAGCTTTTCTGGCAGTAAAAA